CATGTTCTGAATCCTAAATTGATATCTCAAAAATCGAGTGTTCTATGATTTTTTGAAGAAATGTCCGCTGGAGCAGATTTTTCTAGAAAAATTCGAATAACTCGAGAACGGCCGAATCAAATTGCAAAAAGTAAAGTTATTTATAAACCTTCAAAACAGACAAATCCAAATATGTAAAAATATACAGGGTGTTCCATTTAAAAAAATGAAGTAGGTGGCGACTTCCGGTATAACCGGAAGTGCTAGAAATCTGAAAATATTTTAGTCGAAGAGAACGCAATTAATAATACTTAAATCTGAATTTTCAAATTTTTGTATTGGCCAGAACCCTGTAAAGTTCTAATGGACGGTCGTCGTGGATGACCCTATATTTATAAATTATTCTAGAAGCCTTGTTTATAGATATACATAGTTATCCAAAGAATTTAGTTCATGGTCGTGATGCCTAGATGGCGGGGTGACTTATGTGTCGCTAAAGTCCGTAGATTATCAAAGTATCGCGGTTCATGAAGCCTGTGTATTCGAAATATTCAAGCCAAAATGGCGGTTTGACAGCTTGTCAGTGCATGTTACCAGTGTTACCACTTATTTATAAAAATAATGCCGTCGTGTTGCCTTTGGAGTTGCAAAAATAGCAGTAAGACGGGCTTTCGACTTTTCGGAGCACAAATTTCCCGCTTGACTTTCGAGCTAAAATGGCGGCAAACCTCGGTACTTTGTAAATCTAGGGACTTTATTTGTCGCCATTCATAAAATTTAAATTTTACTATACGCGCCCAAACGTATTACCCTTGTTTATAGATATACGTTTATAGATATATGTATATCTATATACAAGGGTTGTAGGTCAAACAGTGTTGAAAACCATAAAAAATAAAATCCTCCAGATTATGAGGAAAAATTTCCAGATTTTCACAACATTTTTAATATATACAATATACCGGGTATAACAGGATCATGGTACACCCCCCGTATGTCCTTTAGTTTTGAAGATAATTGATTCAAATTTGGGACATCCTATACACATCATAAGAGACACTTTTTGACATACAATTAATTTTTTTTTCAATTCCGGTTTCGCCGAAAGTGACACTAACTTCAGATTTTTAAATGGAACATCCTGTATATTATTACATCTTTGAAATCTGAATAATTTTCTGAATCCAATGGTACCACATAAGTGACATTTCAAACGTCAATATTTTTTAGAATTTAATGTTTAATTTTTCATTTAAGTGTGCCATGAGAGTTCCGTTTTATTCTAATTAACTCGTCTAATGCTAGAAAAATCTAAATTCCGCCA